GTCAAATTCTCATACATGGTTTCTAGATACCGGATGTACAAATCATATGTGCGGTAGGTGCGATTTTTTTGTTGAACGAATTTGTCCAATCCCAAGTTAAGTTTGCCGATGATAGCACAATGGCAGTTATGGGAAAAGGATGCATCCTTATTAAGCTAATAAATGGAGATCACAGTTTTATATTGGAGGTCTTCTATGTGCCTGCCATGAAAAGTAATCTCCTAAGCATGGACCAATTGTTGGAGAAATGATATGAAATGCACTCTAAAGGGCGTGATTTGTCGATTCTTGACAAAAAAAGATACACTTATTTTGAAGACCACTTTAATCATATGTTTCAAGTTGATATTCCCCGCGATGTGTGTACATGTTTTAATGCGATGGTGAAAGATGAGTCTTGGTTATGGCATCTTTGCTTTGGTCCCTTGAATTTTCAAAGTTTGAAAATGCTTGCTCAAAGGAATATGGTGAAAGGCCCCAATCAAGTGTGTGAAGCATGCATTTCAGGAAAGCAAAGTAAGCGACCATTCAAAGTTGAAAATAATTGCCGGGCGAATTACATACTGAACCTTGTTCACTCCGATGTTTTGTGGCCCAATGAGTGTTGAATCTCATCACAATGACAAGTACTTCTTGACCTTTATTGACGATTTTTCTCGAAAAATTTGTGTTTATTTATTCACAGGATTTATGGAATTTAAAGCTCATGTAGATAAACCAATGGTTTTTCTATAAAAAAAAAAAAAAGTTGCAAACGGATGGTGGTGGTGAATATTTCTCTTCCGAGTTCAAGAGTTTTCTTGAGCATCATAGAATCGAACATCAGATAACTCCACCTTACACTCCTCAGCATAATAGAGTTACGGAGCAGAAGAATAGAACCATCTTGGATATGTCGAGAAGCATGTTGAAAGCCAAAGGCTTGCCAAATTCTTTTTGGGGAGAAGCCGTCACCTTGTTCGGTGTATTTGTTGAATCGGTCTTCAACAAAAATTGTTTGTTACTTGAAACCGGTGGAAGTATAGTGCGGAATCAAACCTAAAGTTCAACATTTGAGAGTATTTTGTTCCGTGGTCTATGTACACATTCCGGCGGCCATTCGAACAAAGTTTGATGATCGTGAAGGAAAGGCCATCTTTGTGGGTTATGCGCATGGTAGATACAAAATTTTAACCTAACAACAAATAAAGTCATCATTAGTAGATACGTCATTTTTGTGGATGATGAAACATGAAGTTGGAATTTGCCTCAAGTCACTCAAAGTCGGCTTGTTGAATTATTTGAAGGTGCTTCTCAAGGTAGAATTCATAGTATGGCTGAAAAAGCTACACAACCCAATACTTCAAATGAAAGGCCGGCACAAGCCAATAGTTTCGATGAAAGTCCAAGGCGTCAGCGACAACTTCTAGTCACATTACGTGACTATGAGTTTGACCTCTGATGATGTTATTTCTAATGATGGAGAAATTGTGCATATGGCTATGTATGCAAATATGTCGCGGTTGACGATGCAATGGAAGATACCAAATAGGTGAAAGCTATGGAGGAGGAATTACATTCCATAAAAAAAGAAAAAAAAAAATCATACTTGAGAGCTTGTGGATGCTCCATATGATTGCTAACCCATTGATGTCAAATGGTCTTTAAAAGAAAGTTGAAGGAAAATTGGTACGTAGAAAAGTATAAAACGAGGCTTGTGGCGAAAACCTATTGTAATACCCCCGAAATTGGACCGGTGCTAGGCCAACTCCCGTGGATGAGCTTGTGCTAGGCCCTCCGAGATTAAATAGTAATTAAATTGATTGAACAGACTACTCATGTGAACAATATGTACATTTCTTTTCGAGAGCCTTACTGAAAGAACTTTAGAGGTAAACATGCTTGTCCTATTAATTTGAGGATGATTAACCCCCTAGGAAGTCTTATAGGGGGCGCGTGAGTGGGATAGAAGCGTGATGGAAGGACACGTGTTGACTTGTGGGACCAGTCTACAATCCCGTGGCTTGCGGGCCGGAGTGTCTCAGTTGGTATCAGAACCGACCTGCGACAGCCCACAGACTTGACTATTGAGGGGCATAGCGGTTGATGATCCTTGGGGTGCAATGTGGTTGTTGCATTCTTAAGTGAGAGGATGTAATACCCCCAGAATTGGACCTGTGCTAGGCCAACTTCCGTGGATGAGATTGAATAGTAATTAAATGAATAGACTGCTCATGTGAACAATGTGCACATTTCTTTTCAAAAATCCTACTGAAAGAACTCTAGAGTTAAGCGTGCTTGGCCTATTAATTTAAAGATGGGTGAACCCCGGTAAGTCTTACATGGTGCACGTGAGTGGGACAGAAGCGTGATGGAAGGACACGTGTTGACCTATGGGACCAGTCTACAATCCTGTGGCTTGCGGGCCAAAGTGTCTTAGTTGGTATCAGAACTGATGTGCGACAGCCCACAAACATTGACCTGACTGTTGAGGGGCATAGCAGTTGACGATCCTTGAAGTGCAACATGGACGTTGCATTCTTAAGTGGGGATGTAATACCCCGGAGTTGGATTGGTACTAGGCCAACTCCCATGGATGAGCTTGTGCCAGGCCCTTCGAGATTGAATAGTAATTAAATAGATTGAATAGAATACTTATGTCAACAATGTGCACATTTCTTTTCGGGAGCCCCACTGAAAGAATTCTAGAGTTCAGCCTGTTTGCCCTAGAGTAATTTGAGAATGAGTGACTCCTGAGAAGTCTCCCAGAGTGCGCGTGAGTAAGGACAAAAATGCGCTGAAGGGACTTGTGTTGACCTGTGGGACCAGTCTGCAATCCCGACACACCCGACTTTGCGTGGCTTGCGGGCCGGAGTGTCTCACCTATGAACAAAGGCTCGGATTCAACTTTCAAAAAGTATTTGTGCTTGTAGCTTGAATGAAGACGATAAGGTTGTTGATAGCCTTAGTGAGTTTGATATAACTGACATGGTCTTGATGTCATACTTTCTTGGCATTAAAATTACTCAAAGAAATGGTGGGTTCTTTGGTGCACAACAGAAGTACCTTTCTGAAATATTAGAAAGGTTTAACATGCAACATTGCAATGCTGCACGAACTCCAGTGGAGGTTGGCACGAGGTTAATGAAAAGTGAAGATGATCCTACCGTAGATCCAACATATTTCAAGCAAATTGTTGAAACCTTACGATATCTCACATGTTCGAGGCCGGATAGTACTTATGGTGTTGGGCTAATTAATAGGTTCACGGAGTCTCCAAGCCAATCTTATCTCAAAGTTGCTAAAAGGATTTTGACGTATTTAAAGGGCACTCATGATTATAGTCTTTTTTATTCATTGTTTACAAACTCTCTTGTTGGATTTTCCGATAGCGATTGGGGAGTAGATCTTGAGGAGTCGAAAAAGTACTACCGGAAATTATTTTTTTTATGGTTTTACTATTATTTTTTGATCTTCGAAAAAACAGTCTATTGTGACACTATCAACTTGTGAAGCTTTGAGTATGTTGTTGCATCCACGAGTGCTTGTCAAGCTTTTTAGTTGAAAATTGTGTTCTATCAAATTCTCATTCCGGTTGAGGGTCGTATACAGTTGCAAGTCGATAATGTTTCGGCAATTAATTTGGCCAAGAATCCTATAGCGCATGGGAGAAGCAAATACATAGACATTCGTTACCATTTCTTGAAGGAAGCTGTGAATGAAAGGAAAATTAAATTGAGGTTTTGTAAAATAAAAAGATTTAAGTTACCTATATTTTTACAAAGCCCTTAAGCATGAATCATTTGGGAAGTTGAGGAAAATATTTGGGATGACTTCAACATAAAATTATAATTAAGGGTGGGTGATATGACTTAATTATTATATTCATTGAGAATACTCCTATATTAATTTGGTGATTATATAATAAAGTTTGATATATATTTTGATTTAGTGAATATAGAATAATGAATTATATAATAATATATGATTGAGTGAATATTAAATAATAAATTATTGATATTTATGTTTATCCATTATATATTTATGTATATTGTAATAGTTTTGTAAGTGAAAAGAATCCAGAAATTAAGTTTATTTTTTCCTCCTCAATTGCTTTATATTTTGTTAATTTTCTATTAGTGAACTTAGGGATTATCTCTAACATATATGTTTAGTTGCATTGATTTTACATGACTGTGAAATTTTAGATGATGTGAAAATCTTTAATCTAAACTGGATGTATTGATTGCATATCTTTGAGTTTATGAATTACAATTCAAACATAATATCTGTTTCATATTCCTTCTATTGAATTTCCTTAGGTAGGTTGAATATAATCGTTTGTGTACCACCAATAGTCGAAAAGTCAGTCTGAAAACGTTTTCTGAGCTGAGTGCTAATAATTTATGTTCTCCTTTTTTGGATTGGCATACTTGTAATTGGGCTATCTAAAAATTGTTACTTTACTGAAATTGATCGATTCTTAAACAGAACTTGCCCCTGATTTGAATTTATATGTTTAGAATGCCATAACTTCCACTTTGAATGTGTGTTGAAATTCGATCAGATCTATGCCGTATTTGTTTGATGTGGACTTACGTTGGGAAGTAGAGTGAAATCCCCTGTTTATTTTCCATTGTTTAACTTCAGTAAATTGATTGTATGAAAATGCTTGCATCTTTTCCTGTAAAAATTGATCATTTTTCAAGCACTTGTTTTTCTTTATTGATTTCTTCGCACTATCTACTATTTCTTATGGATGTGTTTGGATGATATTTCATTTAAGTATCAGATTGTTCATCATATGTTGTTTCCTAAAATACATCAAGTTCATACCTATTTTTAATTTGAAATATTAAATCCAAAGATCATTTTTCATTCAAAGTATCATGTCTAAAATATTTCAATTCAACTTGCGTTGACGAATTGTCTCACTGAAGAGTGAAAGCAATAGGGTTGATTATGTTGGGTGAAAATTACAGCATGGAGTAGATAGTGTTAATCGCATCGATCATCATGATATGGATGCATCTCTTTGGAAGATTCTCGGGGGACCTTCCTTGGCATCTAAAGGAGCATTCCTAAATGACGGTAATTTGCAAGTTTCTTTGTGAAGCTATGTGGATGTGGATGATGTTTTCTGATTTTGTTGGTTTAATTTTGGATGGCAGGCGGTGGGAAGAAGAATGTGCTGTTGGTTATTGCCCATCCAGATGATGAGTCTATGTAAGCTTCTGAAGTTTTGTTTCGGTTTGGGAATATGTTTGATGTGACGTAAATAGGTTTTGTGATGTGACATTTTGGTATAGAATAAATAAGTATCAAATGAGATATTTTTTAAAAGGAAATTGTTGGTAAATTGTGCTACCACAAGTAGCAGCTGTGGGTTTTGCATATTATGAAAAGAAAAATCAAGTTTGAAAAAATCTGGTGTACTTAATATGCACACATATGAAAAAATGGCCTGCTGCTGTTTACTATTTTGTAAATTTGTTAAACTTTAATAACTTGATTGAAAAAATTTGTTAAACAGTGTTATACATATGTACATATTATATCATATGTCGAACCGACCAGGAAAACTCTTGAACCACTATTACATGATGAAGGCAATGATGTAAATTTGTTGAATTCGTATTCGTAAAATAATATTTTTCAATGTAAGAAACATACTGAACGTATCAACTTACAAAGTATGCTTAACTTGTAGTTCATCAAGGGATCCAAATAGTTTCAAAGTGTTTGATGTTTCGATGGATTGCATTTATGTATTTCAAGGACAACAGTTGGGAGCACTCTGATGTAAGTCTTCTTGAAGATATATTCAACAACTAGCTAATGATACCAGCGTTACATCAGAAAAAAAATTCAGATTTTTCATCGAGTAACAATTAATTGAAACACCATAATTTTATTTGAAGGGATATAAAATAGTTGAAATAAGCTAAATCAAGGATATTGTAGCTCTACAGCTACTGTAATAAGTCTGATGATGTCTGACTGTGATTTGGGAACTTTAGATAGTGTTGGATTTCAGTACTTAGTTCATTATTTCAGCGAGTTTCCCTTGTAATAATCTGTTTAGCTACAAGACTCCCTAAATGCTGAGTTTTATTCTTCTTTGAATTTAAATAAGCAACATGTCAGCAGTCTTTGCAGTGTAATAATATGATTAAAACAACCCTTCTTTAGGATTGACTAACATTCTTGCAATTCTGTATTGGAAACTTAACTGTTCATTCCAACTACTTAAAAGAAACACTTTTTTTATGCAAGCCATCTAGTAAAGCTATTTTGAGATGAAGAATTTATTTGGATTTTAAAATATCATCTTCTACATATTTGTGTTTTGCCTAATATTGGCCGAACAAGATTGCACCATAAACATATTTTATTTTGCATCTAAAGGTTCTTTGCTCCTGATATTGGTTATTTGATCTCACAGGGTCATAATCTGCATGTACTCTGCATTTCAACAGGCAATGTTTGCTCATGCCGTTCGAGTGACATTACTTTTTTTGTATTTAGCTCCAAAATTGCCTGAGGTCATTATTTTACCTTACCTAAATATTTATTAAAGGAATGTGTGATTTTATGTATAATTGATTAATCAAGTGCAATCTAAATTTTACTATCAAAGTTTAATTTAAGTACATGTAATTTCTGATTCCTTTTCCGAAAATTAAGTAATTGTGTGCATAGGAGTATGTGAAAAAACTAGTGTTTCTTGATAATCACATACAAATTCTTGGACTAGATTCTGTGCTCAATTTATTTGAAGATTAAAAGTTGTTGGTTTTCTTAAAATGGAAAAAAATGCAACTGGTGATCTTGAAAGCTTGTAATGGCCTCTTACCTGTGAATAGACAAAAATTCAAGGCCTTTCAATCTTAATGGCCTTTTCCTTGGTTTTTTTTTTTGTGATATAGGAAAATAGAAATATCAACTTGCTTTGCTTTCCAGATTTGTTCTGCTAATCTATATCGAAAGGTATGCATATTTTTTTTTTTTTAGGAATGTGATTAGGTTGTGCCTTAATATTCTTTGATATGTAAATATAATTATTTACGGTGGCAGAGATGCGGTGTTGCTTCAAGATTACACAGTTTCAAAATGCTTTCCTCTCTAATTAAGTCTGAAATTCTCTGAGCTTATGTTTGCTAGTGTAGGCAATGCAAATGGATTGGGAGATACCAGGAAAGAAGAGCTTTATCTTGCATCTGCAGTCCTCAAGGTAATGCATTTTAAGCTTCAATTATTTTTGAGATTCGAATCAACTGTATTCTCTGTTAAATAGTTAATTTCCCTTTCTGTTTTTGACTTTATATCAAATGCTTTCTCCAACTATTTCGAATTTCATATTTTTTTTCTTTTGATATTAAATTTACTTTGGTTTCAATTTATGCATATTTCGACCCAGCAAGCGAAGGTTCTGGATCATCCAGGTTTACAGGTTCATTCTACTTAGGGTATATTGTTTGGGAGTTTAGATTTTGGGTTACAATTTGAATAGTAAAAAGTTTAAATTTGAATAGTTGTATAATGTGATATAAATAAGTATTAATGTGATGTTTTGAATATAAAATTAATTTTTAGTATAATATAAAAAATAAAAAATAAGTGTTTGATTTGATATTTTTTAGAGGAAAATTTTGTATGAATAATGAAAATTTATCAAAATCTTTCAAACAAACACATCCTTAATCAACCAATGATAGTTCCATTGGGTATATAATAATTTGAAAATTATTAAAAAGCTGCTGAATTATGTAGAAATTTGTTGAACTGTGCCTACAAAATGAAATAAAAAGTTAATTTGTTGAATTATAATATGCTAAATAATGTTGTGAAACTTTTGCTCACCTATATATTGAACAAAAAATTGTTGAACTATAGTGTATTTTAAACGTTTATATTTTGAATTTTTAAATATATACTCTCTTCGACCAGAAAAAAAGTATTTGTTTGGCTGGGTGCGAAGATAAAAAAAAATATAATATTTTAATATAAAAATAAAAGTTATGTAAGGGTATTTCGAAAAATTAATTAGGGAATGTGTTTAATTAATAATGTATATGTGATACAATGATGATGAGAAAATTGTTATTATGTATTTAGAGTAAGTAAAATCTAGTGGACGGAAAAAATAGTTGCTATCTATGGTATAAGTACAAATTTTATAAACAAACTTAAAAGGAAAGTACAAATTTAGTAGACAGAGGGAGTATACGTTAAACCAAATAAAAAATATGGTAATATATATATATATATATGTATGTATAAGAAGTTAAATGCTTGTTATATTGAAAGACAAATGTTGAGCTCTTATTACTATGGAGAACCACGTAAGTAAATTACATGCTAATATGTTGAATCACATACAAAATTTGTTGAACTATATAGAAAACATGCTAAATGCCAATATTCAGCTATGCTTAATAATGCAGCATGCAGTCGACACCTACATTGTAAATTATCAACCTGGTGCTCCTTAATTAATTTCTCATTTTGTGCTCTCTAGATCATTAATTTTGACGATTTTGGTGTCTCGGGACATTGCAATCACCGGGATGTACATCGAGGGGTGAGGTAAGGTTTTGCAGAGATGGGATGGTATACTGTGTGTTTGTGGGTTTGAAAGTCGGGATTTTTAGATGGTAAAATTTTGAATAGAAATGGTTGTTTGACGGTGCTTGATTTGATATTTTGAATGTTAATTGTTTTTCTAGTGTAATAATAATTATAATAATAAAATAATAATAATAGATGTTTGATATCATACTGTTTTAGGTTGAAAAACCCACAAAATAACAGAGAGGCCTAATGCTTTTGAAATTTTTGTATCAACTACTACTGCTGCGTACACCTTGTGAGTGACTATGTTATATTTCTTGTCTGCGATACAGGGAGCTATTGCACAAAGTTTCTGATAGGCATCTCGAAGCATGGGCGCTTGTAAGATACCTTCACTTTTCTTGTCTTTAACTTTAGATGTTTATGTCCTAAACTTGCAAACTCACTACTTCAATATGATTTCACATTCCACTGCGTTTAGATCTAGAGATCGCATACATACTTATGGCAGATATTGTTATTTTTCAGGCAAGCAACAAAATATTACGCAAGTACATTGGACCTGTTGACATTTGGTTATCGATACTTTTTGCAAAGATTTAGATCCCGGTAAAAGCTATGCTGCTATGGCTCAGCATTCTAGCCAATGGGTTTGGTCTGTCTGCTTAGTCCTTCACTTTCAGACAGTTGCAATTTATAAATGTCGATTACTTTGAAAACAGAAGCATAAGATACATATTATATATATATATATATTGTTACTGGCTAGGATAATCTACTACCATTGCTGACAAGTATTCTCTCGCTTCCTCTTGCAGGTATCGGAAACTATTTGTGACATTTTCAAGCTGTGAACACACTTAAGAAAATCAAGTAGGGTACATCTGATTCGTAACTCAAGGAATAGTTTTTTTTTTATGAATTAGGAAAAGCTGTAGAACACATATATTTATTATTATTTGTATGAATGATATTTGTATGAATACAACATATGTGTTGTGTTGATTGTTATAATGTCCTGAAAACTTATATTTTAAAAGTGTGTTGTTCTTATATACCTTATGTGCTATATTTACGACTAATTAGCACCGTGCTGATTAGTCTTAATCCGTCGGATTATATTTTAATCAAATGGTAGAGACGAGAGAGGAGGAAAAAATCATATATGAGTTAGTCCGGGAAAATTGCAAAAAATATCCCACACGTATACTTCATTATTACTTTTGTCCGGTATTTATCTCTCCGGCAAAATATATCCCACATGTTTTCAAAAGTCGTTATTTCTATCCTTTGACCGCGCGTGGCCGCGCGTGATTGCGCGTAAGGTATAACTGTAGGATATTTTTTGCAATTTACTCGACTTAGTCGTGGTTAGTTCTCTTTGGAATCCTTTTATGTAAACTTCACATACAAAATATTTTTCATTAACTGATTTACAGAATTTGAGGAATTAAATCGGTTTTTTCTCTTCTTGGTGGATGATGGAGTTATTAAAGATTGATGATGATGATCAGACAGCTGTAGTGCGGAGAAAAGAATTTACATCTGATTGTGTTTGTTGTTTTGTTGCTCCATTTAAAGTAAGTTAATTTTGGTAATTCAATTAGTGTTGAAAGTATACTATATTGTGAGAGAGAGCAAAATATATTATCATTGAGGATAAAGTTCAATGAGAAAGAACACAAAGTTCGATAAAAAAATAATATAGACTATATATATAACTAAAAGTATCATGATAATAAAAAATAGACAATTTAATTATTTTATTGTATTAGTATAAAATTATTATTTTATTCAAAAAAAATCTCTTATGTGGGATGATGATGAAGGACTACTAGGCCTCTTGTCCTGATCCCATATCTCATTTTTGTGAAACCAATAGTCTATTGATTTATGCTGTAATCTCTTGGACAGCTTTCAATTTGGTATCCATGCTTATGTTTTTTAAATATTATTAATATTGTATTTTTTGTGATATAATTATTATTATTTTTTTTTTAAGTTTCAGTATTTATATTATATCTATATATTTTGTCTACGAATGTGGTTAATTCATTTATTAAAAAATTTATTAGAACCTCAAATTATTATTTTTGTATCTATGAATATGAATGCAGTTTTAAAAGTAGAATTATATTTTTTGTTGACGGTAAGAAGAGTATAATTCGGTTAAAATGACTGTTATTACTTTGCTCCTTTGAAATTATTTTGTTTATACCCTTTAAATATTATTATTGTGTTATTTTATAATTAATATTGTTTTTATGTGATATATTGTATTTTTCAAAATTTTCATTATTAATATTCATTTTGTGTCTACAAATGTAGTTTAATTCATTGATTATAATTTATTAGAACTTCGGATTAATTTCTTTTGTATTTAGAATGTATTTTTAAAATAAAATTAGTTCTTTTGGTTAATTGTATGAAGCCAAGTATAATTAATTAAAAGTACTGCTATTATAATGAGAGTATCGAGCACAATAATAAAAAACATTCCAGTGTTGTGTTTATAAGATGATGATATTGTGCTTTTTTATAGCAGCGCCTTTGCTATCGCTCTATTATTAATTTTCTTTGGATATAGTAAAATTATAAAATTAATTTTATTTATCATTGACGGTTGGATATTAAATTAAAGACATCAAATAGTGTATGTTTAATCAGCACCGTGATAGTGTATTATGCATCAACTAATACATTAACACAGTAACCGAAGCGGTTATATGAATTATATTATTATATATTGTCAGTTCATATTTATTTGTATATTATATTAACATATATTACCATACGTTACCTATTTATAATTTGTGTTATTGTTAGGACTATATTGATTAATATTCTATCAACATGGGAACAACCATCTAGGTTGGTTAGTATCTTTTTTTGTGAATCTACCATAGGAGTCCAAAGACCAAAAATCTATAATATGCAAGCATGTAAAACTAAAGTGTTCTTATGTTGTAAGGACCAACACTCAATAAATCGATATTTTTACATTATAATATCTTATTTATATTTTAGGCTACACTTAATAAGTAAATCATCTACTCTCCTCATCAACTAATAATCTTTTGATTTACTTGTGGCACCTAAATTTAGTACATTACTCCCTCCGTCTCGGATATTTTGTCCGCTTTACTGCAGACACGAGAATTTATGAGGGGTATAATTAGTAAATAATTAAAAATATATTAGTAAAAGTAATTATCGAATAATAAAAATAATTGTAGATTAAGACTAAGATAATTGACTTGTATAATTAAAATTTAAAAAATTATAATTAATTTTTTAAAAATAAAATTAAAGTGTATAATTCTTTTCCAAAAAAGGAAAGCGACAAAATAAGTGGGACGGACGGAAATAGAAACGTGGACATGAGAAGTGGAACGGAGGGAGTAGTATTTTATTGAAGTGTAATACAAACAGACGATTTATGTAAAAACAATTTTGTCTTTGTGTAAAAAATAATCATGTAATGATAAAATAGAAATGTTTTTACATTTACATAGAATGTAAGTTTACTGGAAAAAATAATGAAATGAAAAAATTTGAACGAACAGACTAAAGTAGAAAATTGAAAAGATTTTGAATAGACGAAATAAATATTATTTGTGGATGTTATAAATGAGAAAATGTACTTGTGTTTATTATTAGTAAATAGAGAAAATATTTAAAAGACCAAAAAAACTGAAAATATAGTTTAAGAAAATAAATACTATTTCTACATCTTATTAGACTAAATTTATTCCTATTTTTTTTTATTTATATCTCTAGCCTCCTTTATAATTTGCTTTCCATTTAATTATATTTATCAAATTGATCCTGTAGCACGTGAAGACCGCATGGGATTTGGTAAAAAAAAAATACAAAGTAAAATAAATATAAAACAGAAGTAATAATTTGGTATATAGAGAGAATATATTTTTTAAATTTTTTATTTATTTTAGTAATTAACTATATAGTTAAAATTTTCTTAAATTTTCTTAATTTATTTTTTTAAAAGCTTTTTATTATTAATTCCCAAAAATATATATTTTTGTGATATATTATTTATTTTTAATATTAAAAATTTTCAAATTTAGTATCATAAAATTTTAATTTAAAAAATATATATATATTTAAATTACATCATCATATATATATATATATTTTATAATCATAGAAGATACTTATAAACAAAAATAGTTGGTAATAAATTTCATACAAAATTTTATAAAATTATATAATTATATATGTTTATTATAAAATTGTATAATTATGTTTATTTATATTACTGAAAAAAAATATATTCTACAATTTAAAAATTTTGAATTTTGTAGTATCGTAAAGTATGTCATGTGGTCTTAAGACACGAGATATGACCATGTTTGAATATAAGAAAAATAGGTTGTAATACCATGTTTAATATTTGTGAAAAATAAAAATTGTATATTGACCAAAAAGAGAATTGCAATGTATATATATATATAGGCATATATCTGTAACAATATATAAAAAATATGCTAACAGACCAAAACAAATGTAATTGTATAGGATGTGAAGATCACTATTTATTGTTTATATGAATGAAATAAATATGAGACAAAAGTAATAATCAAATATATGTATATATATATAGAGAGAGATGATATTGTTTGTCATTCTCTTTTTTTTTTTTTTTTCCCTCGCTTTTGTTGAATTACTCTAATTCCTCCTTATATTTCTTGCTCATTTGTACGTTTTGTTTATATTTCTTGCTTTATAATTTAAGTTTTCTTCGAATCATGTGTTCGTTTCATTGTCGGATTACTATTTATTCTCCTTTTTCATCATCAATTTGTTGAACATGGGACATCTAACCCTTAAAGACTTTTTGGAGGACTTCGGAAAATCTTCATAAAATTTTCTAATTGGCATGCTTCATAGACCATTCAAAACAAAATAGAAAAAAAATAAATCCAGATATAACAATGACAATTAATATAACTGTGCTAGAAAAACATCATCCCACTTAATTCATTTATTATATTTAAATTATATTAATATAAATAATGTATTGTTCATAATATTTTATTATATTAATATAAATTATGTACTGCTAACTTCTAAGTCATATATTGTTCATTAAAATGGTAGATGTTTACATCCTGCGCTCTAATAGCAACATAATATTCCCTCCTTTGTCCGTCACATATGATTTCTTTTTTTTTTTCCGGCCAATAACAAATGATTATTTTATATTTTTAATAAATTTATTCATCTTAAATATATTTAACAAATATAAATCAATTGAATTAAATTCTTAATTACTCAAAATCTCTTTATTTTTATTTCTCATTAATAAATAAATATTATTTATCTACTTTAAAACACCTTGTTTTTTTATAAAACTAATTAAGTTAATACTAAATAAATATATAGTGTATTTTTTTTCATTTATATTGTATAAAATTTATTATCTATAAAATAATATTCATATTTTATATATATTTTATTGAGATACAATATACTCCTTCTGTCCCAAGTTGAATGTCTGGGTCACTGTAGAGACTGACAGATAATTAAGAATGTATTAATAAAAATAATTATCCTATAATATAAATAATAATTCTATAATATAAATAAATGTTAAGATAACTAATTAGTTTAATTAAAATTAAAAAAAATAAATTAAAAAATTTAAAATGAGATTAAAATATATAATCATTTTAAAAAAAAAATGACATGAGATGTGGGTCGACAAAAACAGCGATATGGACCTGGTTGGTGAGACGGTGGGAGTATAAAATATTTAAACACAACCTAAAAACAAATGAATCATACAAGGTATAGGAGGTGAATTTCACTATTAAACTAGTCAATTCGACGAGCGTGAATGATGTCATATATTGAAAGAAATAAATGGTGGTTGTGGGTGTGTGCCTCCAGGAATAAAATGAATGATATGATACCATTCTTGCAATGTACATTCGTGTTACATGCCCATGCCCATGCCCGAGCGACAACAGTATTTCTTCCCTTTGTATGCCATGCCTGCCTAACTTCAAAACTTGGGGATATCTTTCCCTTTCCTTTCGTAAATTAAAATGTTGTCATGTTCTACACTATAAGGTGCAGCAGTTGGTTCATAATGAACTTTGGACGCAAAAACAAGAGGAAAGAAAACAAAATAATAACAAGTGTGGAGGACGAAGAGAGGTCAGCAAAATTTGTGGAGGGTTGGGAAAGATGATCAAGAAAGCTGAAGGGCGATCTCCTGCAGCAGTAGTTTCTTCTGAGACGCATTGATTACACCGTTGCACTCTGCATCCGCCAAAACCTCCGTCATAATGGCTGCAGCATGCCCTCTTGGTTCATTCGTTCCCGATGCTCTTCGCAGCATAAACACCTGCCATGCCACGCACAGCAAACATGTATGTACATATCAACGTTTTATCACTGAAACTAGAAAGGTGAGGATGGATTCTGTCTGGAGATTTTATATTCGCCCCGTAACTTTAAGAGCTTTCTACCTGGCCGTGATGTGTTATTTCTAGGCATCCGGGCTGTTGTATAAATGGCTCCCCATCAATCTGCACTGGGAAAGGACTTGAAACGTGTATTTTTACAACTTTCCCTTGTGCCAATCTAGTTGCTTGTGATAGTCCAACCTGCGACGTCACATTTTGAAATTAGCCTTCCTTCAAGCACGAAATGTTTAAAAACAGCCTTCGATAAAACAACCTAGGGATTTCTTGGTGATGTATTTAGATTTCTTTGGCGGAGATTTTACAAAACATGAGGGCTATTTGACTAGTGTTTTTTCTTTCCCGCTATTTTTGGTTCACATAAGCATTGTTAATCATTTCATATTTCACTCAAAATTCAATTTACCTTAACAAGAATCCACAAACCGCAGAAAATTTATATGAGCCTAAAAAGTGTACAAGTAAAATTCCAAACCTGGAGCTTGCCAAGGTGCCATGATCCAGTAACACAAACAACCTCAAGCATTTTGTCGTGCATGCACTGCTGATTGAAATTGTCATCATGTTCATAATCATTTTGCCAGAGTTCAACTCCGCCCATATAGCTGCCAATGTTCAGAACAATTAAGCCCTCCGCATCCTGCATGAAGAAAATTTTAATTAAAGACAAGGTTAAGTTACATCTACATCACCTTTGTTCTAATTACATTAAATACCCATATAAATTTTACTGCATAATTTACCCATGTTAGCTGCTAAAATGTCGACAAACTCTCTATATTTGTGCACATAACAGAAGTTCTGTGCATATATTTCATTAACACAGGTGTGTTTTGCGACAAAATTTACACTAAATATCCTATGTATTTACATTAAAGCACATGTAGTCGAGTACTATATAAAATGTGAAATAAAAAAGATCTCATTGACAACTAGCAATTATGATGGCGTACTTTTGGTATCTCGATATCTTTCTCATCAACCTCAAGCCAAACTTGCCATGGTAAATCGGCACAAGCTCTATCCATCATATCCCGGGCACCTTCTTTTGCATACCTCAATTTATTTACAAACTGTATACAGAGATTTATAAAATATTATATATCCATAAAAGTGAATTCCATGAAAACTTCATAAACCGCAAGTAGATTAAGTTGAAGAACGTCATCTCACCTGGCTGTAAAATTTCCCGGGGTTTTCTTCCCTATTCATATGAAATTCATATGCAACCTTTGCGTCGCATCCGATGCCTATAGAAGCAAAAGGGGAAACAACTCAAACAAAAAAAAGGGCAGAGTCCTTTGCAATATAAAAAGAATAAAAATTACCTAAGTAGTTCATCATAAACTTGGATTTCACTTGACTGGACTTGCTTCCGGGCATTTCTTCTGTTATGTTGACTTTCCAGCGGTCAAGCATTGTGACTGCAGCATGGTCTACATCATGTAAAAATGTGCTCAGGGCACCTTGTCCCTCAATAACAGAAAATCCACCACCCCAATGCAAAACCCTCGACAAATCATTCCCAGTTCCTAAAGGAAGAATAGCAACTGGAGGTGGGAACTCATAGTTATACTTCTCTATTGCATCAAGGACCCATGCAACAGTGCCATCACCTCCGCAAACCAAAACCCTAAAGTAGTGAACATTGCTAAACAGTTCTAACCCAACCTCCGGTCCTTGAGAGGCACCAAGTTCAATTACCTGCCAAAAGTAATATGGAGCATAAGCCAACAGCCAAACAACACTGAAAATGGGGCCATAGATGATGGGCTATGAAGCTCGCAAACACGGGTAATAATAGGAAAAAAATTCGCCCTTTTAAAACAAACAGCAAAATTTGTTTGTATGGATCTTCCAAAGCTAGAAAGAACGCTATAGAGAAGGAAATGCCAGTACTAGAACTGAAAATTGATCCTTCGTGTAGAAAAAAGGGGAGAAGAAACCAAAATCCTCTTTATAGAATGATCATTATGAGACAGAGCAGTATATATAACTGTAAATTACAAATGATCATTGTACTTCACAGTAGGCTCAAGCAAGTAATAACTGATTTTTGTAGGAGTTAAATTTTCACTTCTTGAAAATATTGGCCTTCATTACAAAAGACCTATAAATTAACATACACTTTTAACATAATAAACTGATGGGGAAATGAAATTTTAGTTTATTATTTTGCTGTGTGATATTCAGTTACGACTATTCCTGACATTCCACAAAATTCAGTACCTGTATGCTATCATATGCTAATAAGCTATAGAGGTCCACGACTGCCATTTCTAATACATGATCAGAAAGACACAATCAGTTTTTTGTTTTATTCAATTGAATTACGTTACAAGGTAAAGGAACTATCAACACATGCATCCCAAATTTAATGATCAAATAACATAAAACATAGTTAAGATACTCCGAAAGCAGAACATGTAAAGCAACAGTATAGAAATGCCACCATATCCAACAAAGAATTTCTCTGCCCTTTTAAACTAGTAGTAAAACCAAAACATCTCTGGCAGTGTTCTACTAGCCATTTTCCACTGCCAAAGACATTTTTGGTCTTGCAAGGATCCTAAATTTGTAACTTCAAATAATATAGGGACAAAGAAAAAACTAGGTAAACAATTAAAGAGTAAAGGACTCCACTTTAAGGTTTTTAAATGCAGTTACAAAAGAGACATGAATTGACCTCATGCTAAAATATTTAACAGACATACCAAATTTACTATTCTCCATTACTGATAGATGGCCTGGTGGATACCAATGCTGATATAAATTTGTTGACCATATTAATATTTACCTGAATAGGATTCAATAGCATGTTCAATCTTCGGCGTAGGGTAGGCCCATTTTGTCCTCCACTTTTGCCATTTATAAAGACTAGTAGAGGTCTAGCATCTGAAGGCATGTCTAGAATGGCATACTTCTTCAATTTTTGACAGAAGTTACTGCTATCCTTTTTGTTGGCTGATACACAGAGAGTGCCATTGTTTATGGGACCTTTGCTAGCATTCGTATAATGATTAATGGTTTTCTCATTGCTAGAATAATGGAATCCCGCAAGACTCCTTAGAGCATTGAGAATTGCTCTTTTGGCATCAAAACTTTCTTGCTCCTTTCCATTAACCAATCGATTATTTCCAGGTTTACTGCGATGATGCTTCTTTCTTCTCTCTCCACGAACTGTCGGGTCAATGACTTCTTCGGTAGAGGGACCCAGCATATCACTCTTTGTATTTTTAACACAAAGTGGAGAAAGAATTACTCTTCTAAGAGAACCTAGATCACAATCATCACCAAATTCTTCGGACATTTTGACTTGGCACTTAACATGTATTATGCGTTGACACCACACGCAGTACCAAGCTGGAGAGGCATCAATAAAGGGCATGCCACAAGGTTCATCACAGTAAAAGCAGAAGGCGGACATCTCTGGGTTTTCATCCAGATTGACCCATCTTTCTGACCAGTGATGCTGCACTTTATCATAACCAGCCTGTGCAACACATTTACAATCTTTTGCTGCAAACCGAGAACAATGAAGATGACTTGCAACACCGCAGACAGAGCAACGGTGTATCGGGGATTGAGACGTTGATTTTGTTCGTAAAGATTGAGGATACAGTAGCGATGTTAGGCAGACACAGCATGTGGATGGTGGTCCACCGGAAGCAACATCGTACATCCATGTGTGATGTGATAAGGGAACTTTCAGCTTCTTCCAGGCTTTTTTCTTTGCCCTGGAAGCAGCTTTGAGCCAATCAAGAGATGCTTTTCGCTGCCATTTCAGGAACGCATAGACCAGAGCAAAAAGTCCAAAAGATCCAGTAATAAGCCATCCGAAAATGTAGCCATAATCCAGGGTAGAACTCGCAAGTAAGAACCTTAGAAGAGGAATACTGATGTCATTCGTCATGAATGTAAAACTACATTATCATCTTGATTCTTGATCAGGGGAAGAAGCTTCAAAGTTTCTACAGGTTATCAATCTCTGCAGAAAGAAGATGAACACATGAATGGGGATGATTTAGAGCATAAAGAAAAAACTACAGAAAAACGAAATGCCTTAAAAATAATGGCTTGTCCTCTAGCAACTAATCACCAAACATTAAGCTTGAAAAGTTATATACCAACAAATGCCATGTAGATTACTGACTGCCACCATTAATATAAAGAACAAATAACATCATCTGAAATTCCTAGCAGCAAAAAGAATGTAGATCTGTGCATAGAATTTGATATGATCAAGCACAAGAAAAGTAGAAAATTCTTTAAAGATACCCCACAGTTAACAAAGGCCTGCTTTCTCCTTTATGAACCTTCAATTCGGCGAAGAATTCTCAAACAGGCACCAAGAGCACCTAGAGGAATATAGACAAACACAACGAAACAAAATTGAGCACCTACTAAATGTAATAACAAATCAGACGCAAATAAGAATTGGGGAAAATACCATAATTCAACAAAGAAACTAAGAAAGAACAAAACAAATTCATCAATACATCCTCACACCAGCCAGAACAAACTCCCCAGTTTATAAGATCACGAAAACGTTCTTTACTCAAGATAGGCACAAAAACAACGCAACGAAATCTCCCTTCTCTAACAACATAAACCCTATAAATCCACACAGATCACGATCCAATTGCTGCCGCGAAGACGTTATGTCTAGCGATCACAATCAAGTTAAATCATGAAACAGAAAAGAACAACAAACCATCAAACGCAATCGCATGAATCTGGTTCAAAATCAAGCCCATAATCACAGAGCATCCAAACACAAGCAAGGCAAGGACGGGGCGGGGCGAAATCAAAATTCGAAAGCGGCACACGAAGACAGGAGAAGAAAACAAACCTGAGGATCGGTGCGCAGCGAAATCCCTCAAGCAGAGACGGAATTCAATCAAGCGACGGAAGGAATCAAGAATTGTGAGGAACCATAGATGAAAAAAATAGCAGAGAAAAGAAAAAGAAACGAAAGGTGTCTTCTTTTTTCCCTATTTCGTATTGGGAATGAGTCGGCAGGCGGAAAGGGTAAAGAATGGAGCGTGCAGGACGCGAATCTGCTGCGCAAAAAACACGGCGGCTACTTCGGAAAGACCAAAGCGCTCGCTCACTGCACCCTTGGGTTCAACTTCAATCCGCACACTGCACTTTCTGGGCCCTTCTTTATTTGTAACGTACGTTCAAGATTTATACAATTCTGTTGAACGTATTTTGCATATTACGGTACAGTAGATTCACCGTACTGTTGCCAAACCATTTGATCCATCCTACCTAGTCCTATATTACATTAATTTTTTAGTTGGTTTTGTTTGAAGGATTTTGGAGGATTTCCACTATTTATTCAATTTTTTCCCCCAAAAACATCAAATCAAACACCTATTTTTCATTTTTTATATTATACTAAAAAATAATTTTACATTCAAAACATCACATCAACACCTATTTATATCACATCATACAACTATTCAAATTCAAAATTTTTACTATTCAAATCCCAATCCAAAATCCAAACTCCCAAACAAACACACCCTTAGATTTGTCTATATTGTTAGTTAGGCATTAATTTTATCATTTATGAATTTGAATTAAGTAAGCTACACAAATATATAAATATATACTTACTCCGTCGGATAAATTACTTTTTTACCCTTATGAATATATTAGTGTAAAAAGTTGTGGCAATTGTGTAATAATAATGAAAAAGTAGGGATAGTCTTAGGGTGATATGATTATTTATAAAAATAGTGCTATTGTTTTTTGGGACGGACAAAAATAGTAAATAAAACTGGAACGGATAGAAGAGTATATAATAATACAAATTATTTTTATATAATGGAAAAATCATTTAACATGAAACAAAAAAAAAATGTTTTTATTTCAAATCACTCAATTTAATTATAAAATAATGTAAAAAAATTAAAATTACGCAATGCTATGAATAGAATTGAAAAAGAAATATAAATATTTCAAAATACTAAGGTTGTGTTTGGTACAGAGAAATGGAAATGATATCATTTCTCTTGTTTGTTTGAGTCAAGAGAAATGAAACTTGAGAAATAAATCATTTTCGTTTCTCTGTTTTCATTTCTCTCCCATATGCAGAGAAATAGAGATAAATGATGTTGCAGTATATATATTTTTTAATTTTTAAAATTTTTTTACTATTTAATTTTTATAATTTTTTAAAAATTATATTATTTTAATTTTACAAAAAACAAACTTAATTTATTTTTAAAGTATTTAATTTTTACGACATTTTAAAAAATTGTACTAAAATATAATCTTAAAAAACATCGTATATAATTTATAATTTTTTTAAAAAAAATTTACCAAAAATATTTTTCATGAATTCTCATTCGTTAAAACTCTTTTTTTATCGTGTTAATCATTTATTTTTGTTTGCTCATTCATATATCTGCATTTTTTTTAGATTTCTCAAATCAATTCTCCGTTTTATCAAACAAGAGTACTCAATTCTATTTCTCTCCAATTCTATTCTCTACTGTCATTTCTCTGCAATTCTATTCTATGTACCAAACGCCCCTAAAAATGACCATGAGGATTACATTTAGAGCATTTTAAATTCAGATAAATTTTAGTTTTGAAAGTAAATTATTGTATTAGTATATATTTATTTTATAAACAATATCTTTAAAAACCATAAAAAAAAAATGTATTTCTATTAACATTCAGCATATCATTACTTATATTTTAAAAAATAATTATTTTCAAAATACATATTATATATATTATTTCATACTTTTTGATCTCTCATATTTAAAAACTTCTCAACTATTAGTTCACAACTTATTAAATAATAATAATAATAAATTGATCAACGTCATTTTTTTAATATTTTATTTATCTGTTTTTTCAAATTTTTATAAAATTTATCTACTAAATCAAATTTACAAAAATCATATAATTTAATATTTTATTTATCTGTTTTTTCAAATTTTTATAAAATTTGTCTACTAAATCAAATTTACAAAAATCATATAAAATTCTGTTTTGTAATTTTAGAAATTTATAGTTTATTAATGTTAATTATATAAATTAATCAAAATCAATTTATATTATATTTTTGAAAATATTAAATTTGTTGATTATAATACTATAAATTTGGTGCATGATATATGCAATCGTAATTTACTTTATTTATTCAATTTTGATAGTTTTAGGAATTTATAATTTAGTCAAATCTAATTATATAAATTAATAGCAAATTCATTTGTTTTTATATTTTAAGAAATATAAACTATGTTGATTATAATATCATAAATTTGGCTTATAATTTATGCAATTGTAATCTATTTTATTTACTCATATATAATATGGAACATTAATTGAATAAATTAATGTATACATATACTTTTACTTCTTTAAATTTTTAAGTCCAATAAATTGAATAATTTTATTATTTCGAAATATTGTTTAAGTCTAATAAATCAAATAATTTCATTATTTCTAATTGGTCTTCCTTTTTATACCTTAGGAGAATGACTTTTCAAATTAAATCACTTTCTTTAAAAGTTTTGGGATAAACTCTTTTGCCATATTATTTAACATTACTTCTGTTCTCTTTGAACATATTGTCAATAGCTATCATCAGTGACTAGCATTTAATAAATTTAAATAAATAATAATGCCGGAATAAATCAATATTTTTAATAATAAAAAAATTATAAAAATTTTGGCTTGGGGTCAGATCTTCCAAACCCTGGTGTAGTTCCGTCCCTGGCTATCATCGGCAGTGGCAGAACCAGAAATATTGTTTAGAGGGGGCTCAATGTTAAAATAATATAAAAAAATTAAAAAGTAAAATAATTAAAATATTTTTTAAAACTTGAATATATATTAAAAAAAATGTATAATTTTACAATAAAAATAAAAAAACTAAAATCTTTTTCTACAAATTAAAAACAAGAGGAAATTTTACTATAAAAATAAAAACAAACTACTTTGACTAAAAAAAAAAACAAACAAAGAATTCAACCGATTCATAGAACACAAAATTGAATAGTCGCATACATACATATAATGTAGTTATAACCTTACGGCGTATATACCAAATTAAATTCTATAAATTAGAGATGAACTAAAGATATAAAACTCAAATATTACTTAAATTAAATTAAATTAAAATTTATTTACAAATCCTAAATTAGCCAAACAGATAAACAAAGTAGAAAATGAACATAAATCATTAGCAAAAACTTAAATTAATAATATTTATATATACTTATATCATATAACATAACAGTTTATATAAAATAAAGACAGTAAAACACTCACATAAAGAGAGAGGAGGACTCCAAATAACGGTGGACCGGAGGCGGCCGGCCGGCGAGCTCGGGATAGGGCAGCGGCAGACAACAGTGGCCTGGGTGATTCAAGTGAAAAGACGAGTGAGAGCAGAGACAAATTTGATGCAATTTAATTTATTTTTATTATATAATAAAATTTAATTTATAAATTTACTAAATATATAAGTGAGCTAGCTCAATACAGTAGAAAAAATATCAAGCCAAAGCCCACTTTAGTATCCATATCTTCCGTAAGAGCCCAATTTTATCATCTTTTCCAATTCTTCAATTCAATCAGCGCGACTGCAACTCTTATATTTGGAAGAACATCGCCCACAACGGCGATCCGACGAAATCGAGGGGGCTGAATGATTATAATCTAGGGTATGCTTTACTACTCGTGGGGATTTTCTTGTTGGCTCGATGGGGCTTCAACCTCCCCGAGCCCCCTATTACTTCCGCCACTGATCATCCGTATTGTGTCTAGTTGCTCCAAATATTGCATAATGTATTGTTGATGCATTTCATTGAGTACATTAGCTGATTCATGACCGAAAGTGAGATGATATAGTGAAAAACTCCTATTTATGTGTACCCATAATATTTTTGGCGATAGCAAATGACATTTCTTTGGTAAATCTTTGATCATCTTTTCTTTTTATGATGTTAATGATAATTTTATTGGCAACTTGTGTTTATCCATTAGTTTGTGGATTGTATGGAGTTGAATGATATAGTCTAACGGCAGCTGGAGACGACTGGACGCACCACCACACATGGCCGGAAAATGGCAACGGAAAAGGGATTTCCACCGTGATTTTTGTCGGCGGCGCGTGAGTGGCGGATGGCGGTGAAACTTCGGGGGTCGGCCGGCGATGACAAGTCGGATCATATGGTGCCGGAGGCGTCGACCTGATCCCGGAGGCTGACCGCGAACAGTGGCGGCGGACCTTAGAGTTTCAAAAATGATTTATGGAAGCTGAAAATTTAAAACTATAGTCAAAATCTCAAAATTGGAAGACCTCTAGGTACATTTCAGATTAAATGTACCTGGAGAAACGTAGGTTAGAAGGTTGTCTAAACTAAATCTACTAAATTTAAAATTGAGTATCTCAAATATATCAACACCTATGAATGTTAAACGTTCATCCGTGGGAATTGAATAAGGAATTCCAAATTGGTGAATGATATGCCCTTGCACGAATCCTATTGCTTTTTTTGTGTACTCTTCTTTGAAAGAATCGCTTCAGCAATTTTGCGGAAAAAAAAATCGATTGCCATAATGATGAAATAGTGATTTTTGGATGAAACAGGATGATTTTTTCATATGATATCAATTACCCATGATTTGAACAACCATAGTTCGGCCGAAGCTTGGAGTTCGATACTAGGCACATGATTAAGAGAACCAAATTACTGGCATGCCTTACATCTTTTGCATATCGTACACAATAATCAAAGAACTTCGTCCAACAATACCCAACTCGATGAATCTCCCATCTTATATTAAGACTTGCCCAATGTGCTCCACAGATTCCTTCGTGCACCTCTTTCATGACAATGAATGTCTCATCTAACCTTAAACACTTAAACAATACACCATCTAGTGTTCGTTTGAACAAGGTGTTTTCAAACAAATTAAACCAGATAGCTTTCAATAAGACATTAACATGAATTGCTGAATTTGGAGTTTTCAAGTAACTAATAAGTTCTTGTTTCAAATCTGATGTATTGGTTTATTCGGCTCTTGCATTTGCATATACGAAAACTTGTGTAACTCTAATGAACCTTTCTTTCTTTGAATTAGAGGCATGTTGTGCTAAATCACTTATCTGACCATTCCCA